TGAACTCAATCGTTTTCTGTGAAGATCAACAGTGCACTCTGAAATATTATTGACTTAAGAATCGGAAATTGGAAAGCACCGACTTCTGCCCTTCATAGGATACTCCTTTTTACATCTTTATGTTTCATCAATGTTTTCTATAAAACTCTTTTATTTTTAATAACGTATTATGTTGTAACTAAATAGTGACTTGTGCGCTGTTGTGAAACTTAGTTGCACGTCTGTCTGAAACGCCAGCACTCTTATCGAATGCTTTGCAAATGAAATCATGTAGCTGAAGAAAACTTAAGCAAAAGTATTCCTTCACATTTTCAGGAAGTATATGAAGCAGTTGCATACTGGTTATGTTTTCTTAGTGTATAAAAAAGTAAAAAATTTCAAATGTCTTAATTTCAAGTCGAGTACATCGCTGAAAAGAGCGTTCTCGATTGTCAACAAATATATTTCTTTTTCCGACGTTTAATTGCATTTTAGTTGAGATTATTCTCTTTACTGATTTCTACTTGGGCTTATGCAAAAAGAATACCACGAAATGAGTTCTAAAAATAAATTAACGATGAGAATCGAGCCAATGAATACAATGTCACTTGTGGCTACTGTTGATTACGACTTGACTGAATACAAAAAACTCTCTGAATGAATGGAAGCCTTGGCTTTTTATTGATCAAACAATGCTAAATTATGGTGCTGTTGACCCTGAAAACTCCATATCTCCACTCCGAATGGAGTTTTAACACTATATTTTTTAGGAAATGTGACGAGATACAACTTCACTATGTTACTCAGCAAAGTGTTCAAACATGCTAATTCCAATCTTCTATAATCAATGCACTGAGAGAGAAATCAAAATAGCTCGATAGCGAACTTTTTAGTAGGATCGACTTTTTTTTTGCAAAATTTATCGCATATATACTTGAAAGCGTAGCAAAATCGTTTTGGCCTGTTGAATAATAGAATTCTGTTCAACAAAATATCTTCATGACACAAACTCCAATAAAACCAACGATTATTTTGATGATACATGATATCTGGAGATTGAACATGTATTAATTAAAAGTCGATTACAAATATTGAAATGTTTAAGAATTTTGAATACTTGAAGTTTTATGTGTCAACATATGTATCGATAAAGTACTAGAGCATTTTTGCAGACATGTAAAGACAGAATTTAGAAAGTACTCTAACAGCTGAAGATACAATGCAATTTTCAAACACATATCTATACTCATTTGAATAGCAGCTCGACAATTGGATATTGGATACTTGAAACTGATTTTGATCATTCAATTCAAGTTTCAATTATTACACTGCTCTTAGGGAAACAAGAAAGACATAGGAATAGGAACATTCCAACAGACATAATAAACAATGTCAGTCAAATGCAGTTGCGCTTCTTCCTGAAAACTAAGATTCTGGCCTAAAACTCGAAACTTCATCTGTGCATTAGAAAATTCGAATTTCTTTTAGAGATAATTTGCACAAAAAATTGTCACAGAATATATCACTTTTAGCTATAGCATATTTAACCATCATATTCTCTCTCGAGAATAATCATTTATCAATTAGACTGTTCTCAAGACTTGCTACTTTCATCATCACGAAGATAAATTATAATAACAACAGAATTTTGTTTTCTTTGATCATTATATGTTCGTACGAATTTTTTTTCTTTTTTTCTTCTATTATTTCAATCTTTCTTGGCTCTTCTGTACAAATGAAAGCACATAACGCTAGTAAAATGCACCAAAAAACAAGAAAAGAGAACAAAAACCTATGATGCAAGATTTTGACGGACTTTCGTTTTCAACCACATTTACAGAATCATTTTCATAAACAAATTCATCAGCTGGAAATGCTGAATGTCCAAGACCATATAAATGTCCTGAATATTTTCATTCATCAATTGAATCTTCAAAAAATAATTCTTTCATTTTAAAAAATGCTAAACCAATCATTAAACTATCACTACCAACTTGATGTTGTGGACCAATACGTTCAATCTACAATAAAAATCAAATAACAATAAGTAAAACACAAAATATCTTTTTTCAAGTTGTTAAGCCACTTCTTCAGAACCACCTTTCAGATTTTTATAACATAACTCAAAAAATTCACTTTCTGTATCAGGTAATAATTTTCCAGTAAGCATTGTTAATAAATAACCAAAATCATAACCACTATATAAAATAAGCAAAAATTAACATTGTAGAAAGAAAAAAACTTTTTTTTTCTAAACTCTAAAGAAACTAATTCAAATTCAAATAGTAAATTTAGGAGCCAATGACATTGTTGAAAAATAGTAGTACAGGACTTGAAAACTATAATGTGCAATTTGTTAAAAATCTTTCCATCGCTGTTTATCGATAAAATATTGTTATTGAATGCATTAGCTGTTAAAATTACTATTTGAATTTGTACTATTCGTTTAATATCATAGAAAATATTTTCTTATCATTAAATAAAATACATACGCATGAAATGAAAGCCATGTAACATTTTCCATAAAGAGCATATCCATCTGAAACATACCACGTTTACATCGAAGTTCGGCG